CAGCATTGACGGCGTTAGGGAGAGTAGGAGAGGCGGTGAAGGAGTGCGAGGAAGCGGTTAGATTGGATCCTAATTATTGGAGGGCCCATCAGAGATTGGCTTCGTTGATGTTAAGGTGAAAACAGTTTTGATATATTCTTTTTAGTGTTAAATGGTGTATTTTTTGGTGGTTTGATCTACATTGGTGAAGGAAAGAGTGTCGGTGGAACTTTTTTGGATAGTTTTGATATATTAATGGGTTAGTGATAGTTTTGTTGATGTTTTGGATCTAATTTTTGAGATAAAATTTCAGTGTTTGATGTTGGTTGGTTAATGTTTGTGGATAGGATCTGGTGGGTTGTGATGTTTTGATCTACATTCATAACAAGGATTCTTTCTTTCAGATGGCTGAGTGGATTTTCTTTAAAAAAAATTTCTATTTTCTTGCTTCTCCTTTTGCTTTGACATGATGATGGTTGCAGAAGTTTTGATCTAGTGAATGAATATGAGTAATGCTAATGTTTTCATCTGCATTGATGAAAATATTTACTGATTTTTTGGATTGTTAGATCCATATGGTTTGATTAGTTCCTTTGTGTGTTTGCTTTGTTTATTAGCTCTATTATCCGCTTTCTATGTTTTCCTTTCTGATCTGGATTGCTTCCATTCCTCACGCCTGTTCTCTCTATTTGCGTTTAATTGTTTATATTAAAAGGATCAACCTGTCTAGGTTCACTCTTCTCCTTCTAGATAGTTCTAGAGTTTGTTGTTGTTTTTAGATGTTGGATTTTCTCAAAGCAATCCGGTGAAATGTTCAAGGATTTTGTTTTCAATGCTTTCCTCCAAGTCATAGGTTATTGTAAGTTATTTTAAAAGCACCCGCCACTTAACCATATTGGCTGGTTGATGAAGTTGTCGCCTGTCGGCTATGTCTCTATCCTCTATAAAAATTAGATGTCCGTATGTTTCAGTCTTTTGCCAGTTTATGTCATTTACATTTCTTGATGCCAGTCTTTTGCTCATTTAATTATTTTAGGTGTTTTGAAATCCATTTTTGATCTCTAACGCTAATCATATGCACACGTGTTTAGGTTGCTCCAATTTAATCCAATGTGCATATAATATTTAGGATGCTCCAAATTTAACCCACTTTTATTTCAGGGTAGGGCAGGTTGAGAATGCAAGGAAGCACCTATGTTTTCCTGGGCAACCACAAGATCCAACCGAGTTGCAGAAGTTGCAGGCAGTAGAAAAGCATATTAGCAAGTGTACAGATGCCCGGAGAATTAGAGACTGGAAAAGTGCATTAAGGGAAAGTGATGCTGCAATTGCCACTGGTGCGGACTTCTCTCCAGAGGTAAAAAACTCATATAAAACTTTCCATCATTGAATTATCAAGAATTTGTGCAGTTAACAGACATTGAAAACGGCTGAACTGGTTCAAATTGAATTTTCAGCTTTTAATGTGTAGAGTAGAAGCCCTCTTGAAACTCCATCAGCTTGATGATGCTGAATCAAGCCTTTCTGTTGTTCCTAAATTAGAACCATGCACCAACTCCTGCACACGGACTAAGTTTTTTGGGATGCTTTCTGAAGCGTATCTCTTCTTTGTCCAAGCACAAATTGAGATGGCACTTGGGAGGTGAGTTTAAACAAAAAATGATAACCTTCCTTAGATATAAGGTGCCAAAGGCTTTGGGAACAGAATAGGTAAACCGATGATGGATCTCTTGCAGGTTTGAGAATGCAGTTACAGCTGCAGAGAGGGCTGGACAGATTGATCCCAGAAATGTTGAAGTTGCTGTACTGCTTAACAATGTGAGGTTTGTTGCAAGAGCGCGAGCTCGTGGGAATGATCTTTTCAAGTCTGAAAGATTCACTGAGGCCTGCTCAGCATATGGGGATGGTCTCAGGCTTGATCCATCAAACTCTGTTCTTTATTGTAATAGAGCAGCTTGTTGGTTTAAGCTTGGGCGATGGGAGCATTCTGTTGAAGATTGTGACCAAGCTTTAAGTATCCAACCAAACTACATAAAGGCTCTTCTCCGAAGGGCAGCGTCTAATAGCAAGGTAAAGGATCCTTTTAAAGCTTTCCTTCATTAGAAGAATAATTATCTTTCGTGTATCTATGCAGAAGGATTTGGTTGTCTCATACTAATAATCAGTCATTGTGAACTATAGCTCGAAAGATGGGCTGAGGCTGTGCGAGATTATGAAGTTTTGAGAAGGGAACTTCCAAATGAAAATGAAGTTGCTGAATCTCTATTTCATGCACAAGTTGCATTGAAGAAATCTCGTGGTGAAGAAGTTTATAATATGAAGTTTGGTGGTGAAGTAGAGGAAGTATCAGGTCTTGAGCAGTTCAGAGCTGCAATTTCTCTGCCAGGTAAGGATTGCTCTTACATTCTCAACATTTTAAACTACCTTCAACAGACCTCTCACTTCTGTCCTAGATCTTTCCCCTTTTACTGTCGTGCAATCCTCTTGAGCTTTACTTTTGAACCACAGGCATCTCTGTAGTCCATTTTAAGATGGCCTCCAACATGCAATGCAAGCAGATATCTCCATTAGTGGATGCACTATGTGGCCGCTATCCCTCCATAAATTTTCTCAAGGTATGTAGCCCACTCTTCTTCTCCATAATTTGCTTTTTCCATGATCATTTAGATAAAGAACAAGAAATGTGAAGTAGTAGAAATAACCAAGTGTTTTTTATCTACTTTTGTTGGTTCTTTGGAGTAAAGGTGGACATTGATGAGAGTCCAGCAGTTGCAAATGCTGAGAATGTGAGGATTGTACCAACATTCAAGATATACAAAAATGGTAGCCGGGTGAAGGAAATTGTGTGCCCAAGTCGAGAAATGCTGGAACACTCGGTGAGGCATTACAGCTTTTAGAACTCATGACTGTGCTGTACTCCTGCTCCGCCCTTTTTTGTCTTTACATCTTGCTGCCCGAATGTCCTTTTTGTTGGGAACTCTTCCACTACCCACCCAATCTTTCCTCCCACCACATAAGGATTACCAGATACCTGTGACATAAACCAGAGCTACATAATAATCCCATTAGCAGCCAATGCCAGAGGAACCCAGAGAAATTAGCTTTAGTTCCCTTTTGCAGTTTTTATTTATTCATTCATTCCTCATTGCTCTAGGGTTCCCTGTTCTTCCTCCCTTCACCTTACCTTTTTTGTTAATTTTTTCCCCTTTTCCATTTTCAAGTAGGCCAGCCTGGTTCTTGTATCACTACTCTTGTTCAGTGGGAAAAAGAAATTGAGAAATATGTGTACAATTTAATTAAAGTGGATACTTAGTTACATTTTAGGGTTACAGTGAGAGGACTGGCAGTCAGGCTGGTAGTAGAGGATCTCTGTACATGTATAAATGTGATGATATATACAAAACATTGGAAGCCATGAGGGAGATTGGATGTCTGGTGGGTACTTAGTTACCGGGTTAGTGAAAGAAGGATGAATATGTTGTCATTAATATTGTTGTTTCTTTCTTTTTTCTCAACCATTCCATCAATAAAAAAAATTCCCATTTTTTCTTTCTCTCTGCAACTCCACATTTAATTTTTCCTTGCAGTTTTACCTGAAGTTGTGTAACATAAAAAGTGCAAAAATTCAATTTCACACGAGGGGCACTTGTGTCACTCCTCTGATCGCTAGAGAAACACTTGACTTGGTCTTGGGATAGGGTAGGAAACAAAAAAAGTACATATGTTTATAAATGAAGGTTGGTTTTTCTTATTAAGGAGTGGACTGGGTGGTTGACACAATTCATTGCTTTTCCTCTGAAATGTAACTGTGCCCTCTGGGAATAGGAGAGAGCCAGATTGGCCTAGGAACTTAGAAGCCCGCATTCTCTGTTTCTTAAGTCATTAATAAGTATTGTTTTTAGTTTAAGTGCAATTTGCATGTTATCCATTCCAAGTACATTTGAAAATTATATTTGTCTGCAAGTGAAGTTGTTGTTTGCCTTTGTCATGTGGGAGATGAATAGAGGAACAAGGTTTCTTTATCAATTTCTTTTATTTATGTTTTTTTTTTGTGCATTCACATGTGGGCATTTAAGTGCTGTACCTCCCCTTAATAAGGGGGTTTTTTTGCCCTCTACTACACCCAACCAAAAGGGGCCAAAAAGTGCAAACTGGTCGGTGCTAATGTGCACCGGGTGGACTGTGACAATGCAGCACACAGCCCCTTGGCTTTGGGGGTAGGAACCTTGGGCCTTGTACGGTGCTTTGGCAATGAATGCCGTCATAGGGACAAATGTATGTATATTGGGAAAAAAAAAAGGGGGGAAATTCTTGGATTGGGTATAAAGACAATTTCTTTATTATTTTTGTGGGTATATATATCTTTTTCAGTGTGCAAGAAGCTATATGAAAAGCTAAGCCTATTAGCCTAGCTCCAAATTTACAGGATGTTCAAGATTCCCACTCCAAAACCCCCTTTGCAATGTCAGCATTTGAGCATAAAAAAAAAAAAAGGGCAGAGAAAGCTGTTGATGGTTGGTTTTTCTAGACTTTTTGTCATCTATTGGTCCAGCTGAAACAATTATTGAAACTAACTATCTAATGTGCTGAGGATCAAAACCAAATCAAATTTGGATCCTTATTACTATCATGTGCCCTGTGCCATCTTCATCGATATGTGGTATAATGACTATTCAATGAGATATCTTTACGTGGACTTGTTGCCTGTCAACACTAGTACAGAATTTGTAGTGGTTAGGACAATACAAGACTTTGAAATCAGCTTAGCCTAGAAAGCAGGGAAGACGAATAATTTGACAATGGCAATTGGCAATTGGCAATTGGTAAAAAACAAGCTATCAAAGAATTGATGTTTAAGTGTGCACTTGCTACTTCACGCCCAAGCTGATCTGAAATCTGAAAATGATATTTTTTATATTTTTCTGCAAATTAGTTTGTTTCTGAAAAGTCAAAATAATACATTTATATATGACACGCTCAAAAATAATTATCAGCGTGTTAACATCACGAGTTTTGACACCTGTGTAAAAGAAAGTTTTTACTTATAAATTTAAAATTAATTTCCATCGTGTTAAAGTTTTTATGTACACAGAAATGGAAAGAGGGGACAATAGAATTACCGGGTGTAGGGTAAAATTTTAAATCTTTATAAAGGTTTTTCAACCTTTTACGACAGGGAATATAACCGTTGCGAGAGAAATTGATTTGGATGTGAGTAGGATCTATGTCCACAAATATGCTGTCGTTTCATAGGGTGTGTTTTGGCATTGCTTGCTTTTGTACCCGTACTTGTTATTCAATGTTTTTGGACAATTAACCTGGTTACACTGTTAATTCTCCTAAGCTTCCTACGCCAATTCTTTGCTTAATCTCTTGGCCAAGCCGTCCCAGAAATTCTTAAGCTTAGCATGATAGAAAGCTTCACTTCTGCTTCAGTTTTCCAAATCCAAATCCAAATCTATATAATATAGAAAAAACTTTAACAAGCGAGTCAGGATGGCCGAGTGGTCTAAGGCGCCAGACTCAAGTTCTGGTCTTCGAAAGAGGGCGTGGGTTCAAATCCCACTTCTGACAAATTACTTTTTTTAATTTATCCGAAGGAAAAAAACAGACATTATAGATGCACAAATGCACATCCCTAAGGATCATGTGAGAGGTTTTTCTGTTTCAAAAGGAAAAAAGAAGAGAGCCTTGTAGCATGGAATACAAGCAAAGTTTTGCAAAGATGGAGAGGGAAAAAGAAGGGACAAGCAAACTTTGCCATATGGAAAGTGAGTGCAGAGGTAGCATTTTAGGTCCTATGCCCTTATGTAAGTATGTGAGAAAGAAAACTGAAAAACATTGGAACCTAATTTTGCAAAAGAATGAAAAGAAAAAGAACTATTAACACACCATATTAATTCATCAAAATGAAATTCTAAAAGAATAACCATTAACTTGCAATTATGATTTCATATGTAACCTGGACAACATGAAAAGGGTCTTCCTTCAATAGTCATACCCTAATCTTCATAGACAAATAAATGCACACATTTTCTAGATAGTTCAATATATACCAAGATTCGCTTGCTATGGGGCTAAATATATACACTTACCTTGTAAAGCCAATCCAAGGAATTGAGATAACAGACTGTAAAAGCTCACGTAACGGGAGCTGTGGGGAAAATATACAGGGTAACCTTGCCCTCACATAAGAAAAATATGAGACTAGATGGGTTTTGCAATAATCTATCAAGGAAAAGTACTCTCTGTGTTGTTTGAGACACAAAATGAAGAAGTTCTGAGGTGTGATGCTGAAAGATCTCATCTCGGATCTGTCCACTATTTACACTGTCAGCAAATAGGTATGCCTTGTGACAAGAAATCAGGAGCTAAGAAGACCATTCATAAACATAGTCATAACCAATAGGGTTTTGATTTCTTTGCATACATTATGATCTTCTGTCACCCATTACTTGATTGGGCAGCAAGATTTGTATACAGTGGTCTTTGAAACCGACAAAATACCTATCATATTCAAATGATGAGGTGACTAAAACTCTTAAGTCTATTTGCAATTGCAACATTAATGATGCCTTCAGTTACATTCAGGTTTTTTCTTTCTTTTCCCTTTGTGACAGCTAATCTTCATAAGATTTAAAAGAATGAAGTAAACCAAAAAGGTCACAACCACAAGGGTTTTGCAGGTGTACAAGGATGGATATAAATATTGTTCTTCGTGATACTCAGATAGCATGGTCAAGGTAATGAGATAAACTTAAGAGATGATCATAACAAGGTCCCAGAAAACTTTAAGTCATGCAATTTCAGTACTCGTTCAGACAACCAATGATAAAAGATAAGTAAACCTGAAAAATATCATTCCTTAAGGGTAGATTCAACTCACTACTTAAAGTGACATCTACTGATATTAAAGAGCTTATAAAAAATAGAAGACATAAACAAGCAATGGCAAAAAGGGGATTCCAATGCCCTTTTCCAAGAATACGATACAAGAAACACAACCTGTTCTATCAAAGACTCTGCTTTCCCATTTTTAATCCTCCATTTACGATTTAGCTTTTCCAATAACACTAAACTGAGCTCTATACTATAACAGTACAACTTCTTGCAGGGGATAATTCTTTATACCAGAGGGAATAACTTGGTCATTGGCTGTGGACAACAGAACACATGCAACAATAGGCGTTTACCCTCAGGATAGCCTATTGGATAACCCTTCAACTTTATATGTTCGAGCCAAAGTGAGTAGTTAAAAGGAAAATTTAAGGTCCTCCTCAAGAAAATGGTCAGTTATGTGATTACACAACTCATTCAAACAACTGAGGATACAAGTAGACAATCATAAGTAATCTCGATACAACCAATGATTAATCAGCACTGCCAAATATCATTCCACAATCAATAATCATAGATACAAGCCACAACTAGAATGACATCCACCAACATTAAGGATCAACATAAAAAATAACATCAACGAAATATTATAAGCAATGTAATTGATATTTAGATAACAAACATAAAGAAAGATACTAATTTTTCCACGTAAAAATTACCATCCATTTATTACTAAGAAAGGAAAAACATTTATTAACATAAACCTGACTGTTAGAACTTGAAACTCCAATTCAAAGGTTTCAAGTTCGAATCTTTAGAATAGAGTGCAATGCAAATTCAGTAGTCCAACACTCAATGAGTCCGAATATGTGTATGTAAAAGAATATTTATTCTCATTTCTGATGATCCCTTCCAACATCCATAAAACAAGAATTAGTATTAAAGAGGAAAAAAAAAAAAAACTCTTGCATTGCATCAATTCCTAAAAATTACCAAGTTAAACCCCAATAATACCCAAAAAATCCAAAACCCACTAACCATCTCATTTCTTCTCCAAATCCTTGGAATCCTCCTCCTTCTCTTTTTCCAATTCCTTAACAGCCTCTTCCTCAGCCTTCTTCTCGGCTCGTAAAATCGGCTCATAATAATCAGCATGAGCCTCCATACATTTCTTCAAAGCTGAGGTTGCTTCAAAGCATTTTTCCACAATATCTTGCTTGTGTTCTTCAGCTTCTCTGATGCAGTTTTCCCACCCAATAAAGCTCTCTTTGCATCCCCCTGCTTTCATGAACAAGCAAAACCCACACTCTCCTTCTTCTTCTTCTTCTTCCTCTGATCCTTCATTTGGGTCTTCTTCTTCTGATCCTTCATTTGGGTCTTCTTCTGAGGGCTGTTCGCGTTCAGGGTCGTCCAGGGTTTTGGGATCAGGGGATTGTTTTGATTCTGGGTTTTGAGAGGACATTATTTTCTGGTGGAATCGATGAGTCAGAGAGGCAGTCAAGGTTTTGTTGGTCTTGCGGTGGAGGTCGATGAGAGATTTCCTTCCACCGCCTGCTTAAAACCTCCTAAAACCCCTTGAATTTTTTACTCAATAAATTTGTTTTCATACAAATGTTTTAAAGGGCCAAGAATTGGACAACCTTTTCCTTTTTCTGTGTAAGGGGACTTTTGGGCCTAATGCATTCACTAAATAATTTTTTCAATTATGAAAGAAAATCCTACTTCAGTATGAGTTTATTTCGATTTCAATATTTATGAGAGAAGTTTCATATTATTAAAGAGTTGGATTTTTTTTTTATATCACTTGTTATCGGTACATATATTTTCAATTCAAAAGATATACATATAAAATAGAGAAAGATTTTTACTTATAAATTTAAGATCTATCTTATTTCTTAACGATATGTGATCCGTTACATAAAAATAAGTGCAATGATACAGAGATTATAAAGCCAAATCACATTTTGTTTTTCTTGTGACTTAAGTGAATTAATTGAGATTAATCAATGTTAGATGCTCCTAGTTGATTCATCTCTTTCTTAAGTGCATGGTTATTGTTATGGAGTTTTGGGAATTAGTAAACCATCCAAAATTTTCCAGGACAAAGCAGAAAAAGCCTTCTGCAGCAGATAAAGAGATTGGAAGATTACAACTCTGCTAATTAAGCTGATGCATTACATTATCAAATGTTATTACTGATAAACAACCATTAGCTTCTTTCTGATTCCAAAACAGTTGCTGAGGGAAAATAACATTTTTCAAATGTTAATCTGGTTTTATGCACTGTCCATTGATTGATAAGGAGGTCTTAATAACCCATGAGAGGAACAGCTTGGTCAAAGTCTAAGTGTGATTTATTTCCTTAATCAATAATATACATTAGAATTTAAACTTTTGGGATAAATGGTCGCTCAATTATCTCTTTATCTAACGGTATCACATGCTAGTTTTAAAGGTCAATGTTTCCAACTGACTGCTATGTTTCAGGACGTCTCTAGAAGATGACTTAGGTATAAAGAGTAATTATATTGCTTCAAATACACATGTGCTATGTACCAAGAAAATACACATCATATACAATGCAAGCTCTCACAATTTTGGTACTATCCTAACACACAAACACAAAGAAAGTTTATTCTACAGAAAATAGATATGGTTATACATATGTTGAAAATCAATCATCAGCATCAGACCAGTATATATCCATTCCACCCCGCCGGCTTTGAGGCACTCCCAAGGCTTTCCAAACTGCTTTAGAAGCATCCACAATGTTGTTATCACAAGGAAGATGGTAATCACGGTCAGAATCACACCCCATTGTAGAGTCACATTCTTCCACAACCTTGGCTCTAACACTCTTTCCATTGCCATGGATATTGATGTACTTGAGACACCCTTTTTTCTTGTTGAACCATCCTGTCGAGAGTGCCACCACAGGTTCATCATCAGAGTGGTACTGGTTGTCACATTCTGATCAACCACCGCCGTCCCCACCGGCTTCAAAGCTGTTGAGTGTCAGAGTTGCCTTGGTATGGCTGGAAACCAGCGGCGAACATTCGTAAGTTGTGTAAAGCTTGCCTTCTTGACGACAGTCAGAGTCATTCTCTCGGTTACATTGCCCTGGGGGAGGCTTTTTCTCTCTGCTCTTGCCACTAGCCTTGCAACTCTGGCTTCAGTGCTTACAAATAGAAACAGAAAGCAACTAAGAACTAGAACTTTTAAACAAACTTGCTTCTTCATTTTCCTTTTCCTTCTTTGCTCTCTCTTCCTTCCATTTTCGGATGTTCTGGTGTGAAAATTTTGCAGCTGGGGAAAAGCTATATAAAATGATGAGGAATGAGTTCTTCCAAGTTACCTGTCTTTCCAAGTGAAATTAAGAAAAAATTCTGGCCTTACCCTTTTGGTACTTTGGTTGCGATAAAATAAGGTATATGGAGTTTTAAATTGTCATGGACTGCATGCTTGGAGACATAATGGAGGTAATAAAACGTTTTAAAGTAAATACCACAGTTTGTTTTTTTCTGAAAAGTTTCATGGGAATATCTTGTAAGTCATATATCCAGTCTATTAGATGTTATGATTGAGTCATTGACTTTCTATAGCATAATGACATACTAGTATTCTCACTCATTGTATCCTCAGTTCTCTACCTCTCATTTTTTATTCTATAGTCATTATTTCTCTTATTCATGGGCTGCAATACTGACATTTTAGCATTAGATAACATGAATGAAATTCTTAAATAAACCATTGTTAATTTGTACTCGGCAGAATGCTAACTTGAAGTTATTTCTCTGTTACAATTAATTTCCCTGTTGATTCATCCGTCTTTTGGGATGGTCACTGTTATGAAGTAGTAGGACTGCAGGCTGATGTGTTTCTAGCCAGTACAAAGCTTGAATCTGCAGGATTTAAAAAGATAGAAAGATTTCAGTTCTAGTAAGCTGATCCATTACATAAACAAATGTTGTTTAGAGTTCCCAAAACTGAATGTTGAGTGAGGTTACAGTTCTAATTGTAGAAAAGTTCAAATTTTAATCCTTGGCAGAACAATTTAGTCATTAGTCAAAGTTCAAGTTAATTCCTAGTCAATCATATATGTTAGGATTAAGGCCTTTTCATTCTATTGAAGCTTTTGGCTAATAAATCAATTAATCATTTCTTTGATTGACAGTTACATCTTACAACAAGGTAAAAAAATCCAGCTTAGAGATGCCAGTTCAAGGAAGCTGTTATGGAGCATGAGCTTCCCAACTCCAATCTTTCAATTCACTGATATGTTTAACAAGAAAGAACAAGATGACTAAGGTTTAAGGAGTAGTTGTATTGCTTCAAATACATGTATTGAAATACAAACTCTCGCATTTGTAACACTATTGCTTACTAAAACTAACACACACACTGACAATCTTTACACCTCAATACAAATAGAAATAACATTAATGATGTTGAAAATCAATCAAGTATCAGACCAGTATATATCAATTTCACCCCACTGGCTTAAAGGCACTCCCAAGGCCTTCCAAACTGCTTGTGAGGCAACCACAATGTTGTTATGACAAGGAGGATAGTAACTGTGGGCAGCATCACACCCCGTTGTAGAGTCACATTCATCGACAACCTTAGCCTTGACTCTCTTCCCATTGCCATGGATATCGATATTCTTGAGACACCTTTTTTTCTTGTTGAACCATCCTGTTGAAAGTGCCACCACAGGTTGATCATCAGAATGGTACTGATTGTCACATTTGGATGGTGCACTGCCATCTCCTCCGGCTTCGAAGCTGTTAAGTGTTAGAGTTGCCTTTGTATGGTTGGAAACCGGTGGTGAACATTTGTATGTTGAGTAAAGCTTGCCTTCTTTACAACAGCCGGGGTCATCCTCAATGGTACATTGCCCTGATCGAGGTTTCTTCGCTCTTATCTGGCCACTAGGCTTGCAAGTTTGAGCTTCAACTTCGAAACTTAGCAAAGGAAAAAGAAAGCAAACCAGAATTAGAACACTAGAATAGACTTGTTTCTTCATTGTTTTCCCCCTCTACTCTCTTTTCTTGCTTGTTTTTCTGGTGTGGGAAGAAAACTGGACAGGGAGAAAGGCCATATTATAGAGAAGAGCTATGAGTATTCGAAGCCATCTGTGTCCTAACATGAAATCAAGACAAATTTATGGCCTTGGCCCTTTATATATCTGACAGTGATACAATAAAGCTATATGGAGTAGAAAATTGTCGTGGACTGCATATATGGAGACAGAATAGAGGTAATTAAATGTTTAAAACCTAATACCAAACTGTTGTATATTTAGAAAAGTTGAGTCTTGGTTTATCTTTATTAGCATTTGCACTTAATTGTTCCATGTGTCAATGTCAAGTTCCTATAATTCTTCTACGTAGTGTCTCCCTTCAAAGAATTTTTAACCCATTTTTTTCCTGTGCTGTTTTAGTGCCATTCTAGTTTGCATAATCTCACAACTATCTATCTTTTAAGTATAAGATACCCTTCTATATCATATCGCGCAGCTTTAAGCTAAATTATTAATTACTTTTTAAGTTGTTGAATTCTTCTTGTGAACCTTTGCTCTTGTAGAAGATGCAATTTGAGCATCTCAAGCACATTCCTCTGGTTGTCATAGAAATAGAAATTCCATTTTCTTGATTCAGTGGTATGCAACTAGGAGTTACTGGCTTAGTATAATCAGCTGCAAAATGGGGGAATCCTCATAAGGCTGTGCCACATGATCTTGAGGATGGAAAAGGAAGCTTTTTTGATGAAATTTTGTCCAATTCAAATCAGGGAACATCCAGAGTATTCTTCGCTTCCAGTTTTAATCAATGAACAAACATTATACACAAAATGCATCCACCCTTTTACCTGATCAGTTACTGGAATCTGAAATAGAGCTATATTTGAGAATAATCACTTAGTTCAGCATTTGAGAGTTTTAGAGAACAAGGTATATATTATCATACAAGTTCAGAGACTGCTTCCAACAAGGAAAACAATTAACAGGTAGCAACTGGAAGCTTTTGATAGATATCAAACTCTTTAAAACATCAATTCTTCCAAATTTCCATATCAAATTGACATTGAATAGCTTACATTGCATAGAAAGTTATTTGAAAAGGGCAATCGTTTGCACCCGTCATCATGCACCACTTGCATATAAACGGGTCCATTCCTTTGCTGCAAGAGTCAAGGAAATCAAGAACAGTCAATTATAAGAATAGCCACATATCATCCTTGATTGTAAGAGTTAATCAATCTCGTTGATCCAATACATTCACAACTAATTTACCTGTCTCAACCGCTTCAGCCTCATTTGTTTTCCAGTGCTTAGCAATGTTCTCAGAGAGTGGATCATCAGGATTTGGGGCACTTAGAAGTGCTTGAATGCTGAAATAAAAGTAATAATGTCATTGTATAAACCTAAAAAGCTACCATAATTGAAGGTAATAATGTCAGTGCATTACTATATTTTTGCATTCGAAACTGCAGCAACGTCTTTCTAGCAAAATGAAAACAACATAAATAGGCAGTCATGAAAAAGGTATATTCAACTTCCATCCATTAAATGTATCAAAATCTTATTTTTTAAAATCGAGTATTGTATTACAGTAAAAAATTTTAAAATTGATTATAAATAACATTTATACATATAGAATTAAAAAATTGAAAATTTATTATATTTTTTAACAGAATTGAAGATAGTAGGGTGCAAATTGAAAAGATGGATTATTTTTTTAATTTAAACTCTCAACATATTCTTTAACAATATAGATTTTTGAATAAAATATACCATTTTTCATATTAATTTATTAAATAAATATTAAAAAAATTTATCATGTCGAAATTAAAAGAGAATTTGATTTTTTTAGTTTTTTTATTTAAAATTTGAAACTCATAAATATAATTTTTCATATTTCAACTCAAAAAATAATAAAAATAAATAAAATTCTTAATAATTAATTAGAGTTAAGCTTATAAAACTTATATCAACTTTATCATACAATACGTCTCGTATCATAAAATACATATTGTGCATCATACGATACACTTTCAATACTTGAGCAAATATGATACAGCTATAAATACGTATCGTTTTCTACTAGTACCGTATCATACGATAACGATAGCTATGCTACCATCTTTTTTTATAAAACCTAAACTTTCCAGAACAAATTCTGACAATATGCAAAATGTTTTGAATTTTTCTCAGCAAGCCATGATATATTCACCACACATGTAACCTAAAATAACATATCCTAATATCTTATAATACCTCAGAAGTACAGTTCGGATCTGGAGAGCTGGACTCCATTTGTCTTTGAGAATATCAAGGCATATTCTTCCAAGCTGCAAAAAGGCATAACCCCTAAGAGCCAAGAAAATATATCTTTTGCACCATAAAATAAGGACAAAAGAAGGAAAAGGTAATGCCAACCTTATCAATGTTAGGATGATATATCTTTGTAAGAAATCGAACCTGTTACACCAAACTTGTTAAGGTGGAGAAAATTACAAAATACATCAAAACGGACAACATTAATGGATGACAGACAATTCCAAGAATAGAGAAGAATAACAAATTGATGCTGAAATGCCAACTGCTGACAATTAACAATTCTATGAATATAGTGCACTCTTGAACCACCAGTACAACAAAAACAAACAATGAAGTCCAATCACCAGAAAACAGACAAAGAAGTCCCAATCATAGGAAACCAGACAATTAAGCATCAAACACAAGAGGATGATTAAGCCCCATATGCCATCATATCAGCCATACAGAGCCCAATTAGGAAAGCAACCACAAGATAGATCATTACCACCAACCAAAGTTGGTTCTGTGCAGCTACTCACATGTGAAGGCATCCACAAGAATGGAAGTTCTTCCCGGGTGAAACTAAGACTTTCAAAACCCACAACAAAGAATCACCACATAGCTAATAGAGGCTATAGCAGTGACAACATCAGAACAAGGAATTTTCAAAAGCCAGTGTATATATAATACTATTATAAACATTGAATCCAATCAACAATTTCCTCTTAATTATGTCATCAAAGCAAATATTTTATACCACCAAAAGTTCATCAAAGTAAGAGGAGAATAATATATATTAGACGTTTAATTCTGCCATACCACAAATAAAATAAGACAAATTAAGTTCTGCTGAACCTGAAATTTCCAAAACTAAGATTACGAACCAACTGCAGATTATATCTGACTTAAAGGACAGAGAGTAACAATGAAATGTTTTGATGAATTTCTCAAACTAGCTAAAGAGCTTGGAGAAAAGAGTACGCTGAGATGGTAAGGAATAAGAATGGTCATGAAAGCTAGGGATTTAATAGACAGGGCTCATAATAGTATGATGCTTTAAATGATATCTCAATTTCAGTACACTGAAGGATGTAAAAACAATGCCTGTTAGATGAACATTATCCTCTTTTAATCTCTTCTTCTGCTACAAATATTTTCACAAACACCAAAGCAGATCAAGTTTTACATACATCATCTTGGGCCCAAATTTAACAAATACTAGACGGATTCACCCCCAAAGAATGAGGTAGAGCTTCAAACAGATAGAAATATGAAAATCAATCGGATCCTATACATCATATCATAGATCAGGTACAAAATTATCCCACAAAAATAAAAAGATAACAGTTCCAAAAGGTTGTTCTAATCCAGAAGATATTTATTATCTAATTTAATGTTGTCATCACTTTCCCCTTTCCTGTATCAGACATCATATCATAAATGGAAACACTTGCGCAAACCAACATTTAATCCTTCAGTGTTCTATGCTGATTTTTTTTCTGCCAGAACAACCTACTGCAAGATTCTCAAAGATATAAAATAACCTTAAGAAAGTTTGGCCACCCAAAAGCCATCCACACACAAACACAAACTATTCAAAAACATTTTTTTAAGTGCACGAAGTGTCACTGGATAAAATAATGCAGGTTTTCTACAACATATTAACAAACAATTTAACCGATGAAGGTAGGGCAAATCCTTACAAGCCAAAGGGAAATATAATCTGTAATTCACCAAGAGTAGGCCAGTGTGTGATGAGGCTAGATGCACTAACAGTAAAAAACATGACAGATAAAACAGCCCAACAAAGTAACAACAGATTGACCCACAATGCAAGCTAAAAGCATCAATATATCACATTACGACCATATAAATAACTTTTTCAGATGAAAACAGGTAATATTTTATATGAAAGGATCTGCAATCCAGCGTACAACAATAGATTCAGCAACAGGAAGTTCATGGTACTTATTAAAACAAAACTCAATGTTAAGTACCTTGGGAGCAGCCATGGGATATTCTTCAGGCAAAAATAGTTCCAACTTGAAAACCCCTCCTAAAAAAAATCCCAAAGAAGAAAATGCATCATGTCCTATACAGAAGTGCCATATTACTTACAGAAAGAAAGAAACAACAAAAACGCAATGATATATTACCAAAAACAAGATCCTACAAACAGAGTGACTGCATGACTGAAAAGCATGCTAATTGGTCCTAACTTTCAAGACTGAAAATATAGGCCATTTTTCTCTTTTACAAATGGAAAACCAAGAAAAAAGAAAAAGGCATGAAGAGAAATAAACACTGCAGAACAATCTTCTCAATAAAATTTACTACTTTAAGCATATAGAAATCATTACAATGCCTTAAAATCCAAAATGGCGTTGCTCTTATGACTTATATCAGCACACACCCAACTATTATGCAATGACACAATAAAATTTTACATTTCTAACACATAACAAAATCATAACCACTATATGAAAGAAATAACTACCTTCATATGGAGACTGTGTGGGACCAAGAATCATCACATTGAAATATCGCATGTTATCTTCTGATGGTGAAGCACTAATTCCAGGTGCTGTATCCGGAAAAACCCATTAAACTCTTTTATTCAACAGGAAAAAGAACCCAAAACATTAGATTCTTCTATGATCATAACCATAAAATACTAAACAAAACACTGATTCAGTGATATTAAAAAAAATTCAACAAGAATTTCTCAAAAAAGAAAATAAATCAAATGTGAAGGAAAAAGCAAAGTACTTACCTGGTTCACTGAGGAGACGTTGAGTTTCCTGTTTAGATCAAAGATAAAGAAACCAAAATTAAAGCATGAAAAATTAACAAAATTCACGTAAATTAAAACAAGAAAAAATAGCCTCGATCAAACTAAGAACACGATCTCCAAATAAAATTAGCTGTGGCTTTTAATTCATCAAACCCCTAACAAATCCAGCAATCAAACCCCACTCTAGAAACCCAACAAAAGAAGAAAAGTAAAAGATTAAGATTTTATTGAGGTTTCTAGCGCAAACAAACGAATCGTAGAAATCAAGTAGGATCAAAGGGAGATCGGAAGAGATACCTTGATAATTCTTCGCGGGAGATTACTGTTGGCCATTGACGAGGATCGATTGATGAAGCAAAAGGGCGAGCCCAAAAAAATTTAGGGTTTTTGAGAATTGAGAGAGCAAGGGGAAGAGAGAGAAAAATTTTCGAGAACAAAACACAAAAAATAAAAAAGCTCGTTTGTTCCCTTAATGTGTCTTTTGCATTTATTTTATTTTATTTTATTTTGCCCTAAAACGCAATGATTTTGACCCTCTTCCCATTGTTCTCTACTTTCCTCCTTTTTCTTTTTTTATTATAATAAAATAAATATTATTATTTTTCCACCTTTTTTTTCACAAAAGCAATATTTATTTTTAGGTTATTTCTGTTTGATATCAAAAAAGTTTATAAATAAATCATTTTTTAATTAATAAATTCTTTTATTTATATATTATTTATTTATAAAACATACATTTTCTGAAGTTGAGATTGCAAAGAATTTTTCAGAAAAAAATAGACAAAAACAAAATTATTAAATTATATTAAGTTAATAAGGTTTTATTTTGTTATTATGTCTTGAAATGAATTTTTTTTAATTTTGTCAATGATTAGGTATTATTTACTTTCACAAGATAATTATAGTAAAAGAGTTTAGTTGAGTTTTTTTTTTTTTGAAGTACAAGTTTAATTAAATTAATTATAGTATAACAAAAAAAGATGTGTTTTGGATTTATAAGTAAAAATTTTACTTGAAAATGTAAAATTGTGACAAATTATATCAAAATCTATCTAATATAGATTTTCGAAAAAATCAAAGCAACGAGGCATTATTGAGTGAGAAAAATATCTCAAATTTTAAATTAAAAAAAATGATTTTTGACCTCACTTAGTACATATTTTGAATTGAAAGTGTGAGTCATAATAAAAATATTAAATTAAATTATTGTTTTTACAAAAAAAAAAGTTATTACTATTACCACTTTCATTTTTTTTTTGATAAAAAATGCTAGCTCACATTCTTTTATAAAGGAGACTAGTAAATATATATAAAAAAAAAACAAAGGCTAGTTAAAACTATTAAAACAAAAACAAAATAAAGGTCTTTCCCTCTAAACCTAACAATTCAAGGTTTAGTAATTATAATATAATGAGAGAAACATGGGCATGTTTTTTTATTCCAAACCAATTCCAAGATGTGTCAAAATCAAATTAAAAGCAAAAATATCTATTTAATTACAAGCAATCATTTAATATCCTTAATTTTTAATTTACAAGTTGGACCTCATTGCAAAAATCATAGGGTATAAATCATTCATTATGTTTATAAGAGTTTGTTATTTTTCTAATTTTTTCCCTTACCCATTTATCTTCTCTTAAAATAGAAAATTTTCTTTTAAAGCATTTCGATTATATATGTATTTACCGTCATCTAAGTTAATGTTGTGTACGTCGTTTAATTACAATTGAGATTCTAACTTAAAAGTTTTATATTCAAAATCTTACGTAGGAATGAACGAAATTTATAAAAGGTGAAAAAAATTTTCTCTCATTATATAATTTTTAATTATATATATAATTAAAAAAGAGTAAAAGTTCTTTTACTTTTAAAATTTGGAATTGAATTACCTTGCTTTCACCCTAAATTAACATAACTTGGAAGCAGAAATTCTTTTCTATTTTGGGACAATATACATTTCTTAGAAGCAATAGCAACAAGGTGAAGTTGCCTTATCAAATGGAATTTGGAAACACTAAATAAATTTAAAAAATAAGTTCTTAAAGTGGTTTAGTCAAATTATGAAAGAGTATTTAATTTAATGATATATGTATGTACTAAAAATGAAACTATAATTGAGTTGTTTTTGGGGTGGCGGAAATTATATATAAAGGATCACATCTTAATTGGGATCTTTAGATTAATAATTATAACTTAGATTATAGCTTTAAAACTATGGCAATATTTATAGGAAGTTGGTAGCACAAAAACCTATTCTTGCGTTGCTCTAACGCAAGTCTTTGGCTGTTGTTGGTGGAATTAATTTGGACCACCCAAGAAAGCAATATCTATCCTTTTTTGATCCCTTCATACATTTCCATGTATATGCCTTTGGACAATATGGCCAAGAAAAACTGAGTCAACACAAGAACATGACAACACTAAGATGATTGATGCGCCAACAAAAGCTTTATTTTCTCTGCAAATGCAAATTGATGACCATTAATGGCACTAGACCCAAACCCTAAGTGAATGCAGTAACATGACTTTGGACATGGATGATGGACCCAAAAGAGAATGAAGGTGATGTAAAGGGTATATTCTCTATTTATTGCCATTACTCTTTTCTCTTTTCTTCTAGAGCAAACCCATGTGCTTGGCTGGTGATGTTTGCATGGTTTACCAGTCAAGGTAGAACTCAATGATCAGTTTTTGATTCCATGAGAGTTTCAAAGGGAAGAGACCAGAGAGAAAGAATAATTCATATTATGAAATAATTCTTGTATATGGTTCTGTGAAGACCAGTATATGAGTGCATCAAGGTTTGCACATATTTGAACAAACCATGGCGCTAGACAATTGTTATTTTTTTTTACATAGGCACGAAGTTAAAAAGGGAATTTCTTAGTTAAGAGGAAGGAAACCCAATTCTTTAAGAACTTCAGCGCATCCGGGGACAGCTTCCTTCTTCAAGAACCCAAGATTGTTGGCATATCGAATGGAATCGCTCACCCCATTCTTCTTGGTGAGTAGGACTCTGGCTTTCTGCCATGCTTCCATGAATTCATTACAGTCTTCCTTGGGACTCTTCACAACCCTGACTTCGCAAATTTCTTCCTCGTGATCGCCCTGGACTGGGATACTGTATTTACCGAATTCGTCTGTAGCGCTCTCTTGGCTGTACGTGATGCTGCCACCGACGGTACGGTCCCTGCATTCCAATCTCACTGTTGCACCTGCAAAAAACAAGAGACCAAAGCTTCGTGAATGACACTTTACAAGCAGTATCATCTCTCTCAACAAACAAGTTTAATCTAATTGTATACATATGCCTACTAAATCGGCATCTTCAGCTTCATTCATGTTCACAATGCTTACCAAGTGAAATTGGTAACAAGTAATTTGATTATATACCTTTAATAGGTTGGCTGAGCCTAGTCTCGAATTCCACACGGCATGTGTCACAGTAAACTTTGCCCTGGACGAAGAAGGTGTCGTCGGCGTAGGCGAAGCTGAGGGATGAAAGGCAGATTGCCAAGGAAACAAGGGCGATCAAGGAAGCTTTTGCCATTTCTTCTTTGGTCTTTCTTTATTGGGTTGTGAAAGCTTGTTAAAAAAGGGTAAATTTATAGGGAGGGAGTGTTGGTATTTTTTGTCCCATGGTAGTTATTCAGGTTTTCTATTCTAAGGGATTGAAGAGGGAGAGAGACTCGTTCTTCATTCTCTTACAGGGACAAGCTAATTGAAGAACAGAACAGCTAATTGTCTAAATATAGGGACAACAGAAAGAAAGACATTGGAAAAGAATGAGAAAAATGGAGGACAGAGATGAATGGAACACCAAAGAGGTTATATGAGCTAAATGTGTAAATGAAACGCAAACGCAAGGTGAGAAATCAA